TGATAATAGACTTTTTCTACTTTTTAAAATTTTTTTGAAATTTTTTTGTCTCCTAGATTAAATTTTTCTGGTTAATTAAAGATTAAATTTCTTATTGTATATAAACAATCTATTTTGTATTTTTTACGATTCGACCATGTACATCGTAAAATGTAATTTAACCAGCGACTACATCAACCAAAAATTCTGTGAATCCAAAAGAAAAAAAAGCTTTTTAACTCTGGCAAAACTTCATTCCCCATCGACCGCAATATCCTTGAATAAAAAACGCAACCTTCAATAATCCATTCATCGAGAATTCCAATAAAAGTTTTAAAAGCCCCACCGGATTCGCATTGAAATTTTCATGACTCCCGATATTCAATCAAAACGTCTGGCACCAGAGCTTTTTCATCTTTGACTGACTTTCATTGCAAAATCGACCATCTACAACTACTGCAATGTAAACACATGTACATTATTTAGATCTGTAAACGTTTAAAAAGTACTTGTATATCAGAAGGGCGAGTAGTCAGTCAGACAGCTTAATTTATCTGTCATTAATAAATCAATCAGCTCTACAAAATCCAATGATTTTTAACAAAAAAAGTTGATGCACCACAAAAGATACAAAACTTGAAACATCATGTCACCAATTTCGTAGTTTGCAAACGCATAAAATATGTAATAGAAGTACGTGGTACACTACAGACATTTTTATACCAATCGTTTAAGAAAGATCATTGCCCAGTTTAGTCAAAATCATGAAACATTCAGTAAACAATCGATTTAGTTATCAACACAACTGTCATGCATTTTATCAACTATTTGCCGAAAAATTATCATTTTTTCAACACACTTGAGTTTCCAGTGCAATCAATGAACTGTTCAATGGTTACCATAAAACACTCCAAATAAAATACAGACAAAAGAAGCTCACCTGTATGGACTGCCTGGTGGTGGTAGGCGGTGATCTGGTACCAACGATGGCCAGGTAGTCGACCAGCCTGGGGCACAGGAATTTTTTCTGCACGTCCATGGCTTTGTGCGTGGGTGTATCACGCGCGAACGGACGACGAATGCCAAGAGGGTTGAAGAGGAGCTGCGTCACCGTCCTCGCAACGGGAATGACGACGCTCTACTGGAGCTCAGACGGACTGCTGCTGCGCAGCTTGCGATCGCGCCGGCTACAATTGCTGCATCCCCGATCATGATGGGTGCGCCGACGGCATTGCACCTGTGCATACACACGTTTTTAAACATGTACTTGTAGGATTCTAAGCCACTTAAGTACCACGTACAAGAACTTTTTTTTTACTTTCCAAAAATTTCATAGTATTCGCGTTACTTCCAGTAGTTCGGGGCCATGGCGTTTTTTTTTTTTTTTTGTTTTACAGAGTTTGCAAGCTCGCAGTCGAGTAGGATCTGTAGGATTTGTAAGAGTAAAGAGTCCCCTTTCTCGTGTACGAGCTTACGACGTCACGACGCAAATGAGGACTGGCCGTTTCATATAAAGTAAGGATTGTGTATACTTGGGTTCGATGGAAGCCAGAGTTACTTTTGTGTATTTCGCATCTCTAATATTTATAAACCCTGAGATTGGGGGGCAGATTTTTCGATGAATATAAATCAAAATGTTTGCTTGTTTTTATGCATTGCAATCGAGTCAATGGTGCAAGTCCTCTGAGTTTTTTCTCTTTTCCTTACTTCCCTATTTGATACAAACTTGATTGAATGGTAAGAAATATGTTTCTATGAAACGAGTATACAAAATTAACTCGTGATAATAGACTTTTTCTGCATTTTGTTTTAAGCTGAAGGAAAGTGATTTTTTTTAAGCTCAAACTAAATGCGACACGAGACTAATGGATGAAAAAAAATGTATGCACGCTTAGATATAGTAATACACGTGCTGGTGCAGCACCTATATAGCTTTGTAATCAGCTTTCACGGAACGAAGGCGCCTGCAAACGGAAGTCGCGAAAAAAGCATCGCTTCTATCTTGCCCCGTTGATTTTCCATCGTACCTTATACGTGTAACAATATCATGAGCCGATTCGTCGGTAATGTAATTTTACGTGTATTTATTTCATGCATTTATAGGCACTGTGAAGATTTAATAATTATATGGAAAATGGATGGTTGTTTATGTAAGAAAAATGTTGTATTGTATCTTGAAATAGCCAATTTAAAAAAAAATGCGTTGAAGCACGCCAAATATTATTTACAGTACGGGTGGACGCTAAAAATCACTCTGATTTTTTTTGTGTAATTTATATACGTATGAGGAGTGTAAGCGATAAGGGGAAATCAGTTATGTATACGTGCGGTGCGTGTGTTGTTGGCCTTATTTTGGTTCAAGGACGTGTTTACTGTGTATGTAGGCATTAATGAATGTGTTGTCTGGACTGGAGTGGAAAGAGGAAATAAAGAGAGGGAATACGAAAGTGTAGGTGTCTGTGAGAATTTATCGACTGTGTGCGCGCGTGTGTTTGGCCTAAGAGTGCTGGCTCCTGCTGTTATATAATTACTTTATTATAATGCAGCTAGGGCAAGAGTAGATGGCGACGTAAATTGATTTTCTCTGTGATGCAGCTATAGCAGATCGAAGGGTGATGATTTTTTTTCTTTAAGTGAATTTTTTTTTTTTTTTAATAATTAATTAAATAGATTCCGTTTTTCAATTCATCTTTATTATATAGCATTTTGTAATGGTCCTTATTCCTTTGAAATATAATGTTGAATAGTAGATGAGAAAAATTGTAGGTATTTAAGCGGAAACTAAAATTTTGTAGAAAAACTGACCAAATCTTGATGTAATATTTGGACACAACAAGTTTTATTAGAAAACTCTTTTCACTCATATTTTTTTACGTGTTTATCTTTTCAAAATTGGACAGTTTCAAAATTGACGTAAAAAATTTTAAAAACTATCAACTTCTTGTTTAAATTGACTGTTGGCGTACTCACGATATCTATAACAGACGAGTTTCAATTTTAATATGATTTTAATCTCCATATTCTCTTGAACTCTACTCAGAATTGGTTCTACTATCGGTTTCACTATCTTCTGCACATCTTGTTGATCAACAACATCATTAAAAGTAATAATCCTCTCTCAAGTTCTAACTTCTATTATAAAGTTGAAACCAAGTAAAATAGCAGATATAAAGCTATTTTATAATTACTTGTGTGTTTTTTTCCCTATTTAAAATTAATTTTCTTTTTTACATTTAATAAAATACTACGTGTGTTAAAGCAACAACAACTACAACACTACAAAATCGAGACGAAAAATGTACTTTCTGAAATTTACTTCTTTACGGATTTCGGAAAAGTAAAATTTTTATGGAAACAATTTGAGATTCATCACAGTTTATTCCATGAATTGGATTCCAGGATTGTAGATATTGCGCACTTTCCCCTCTTTTGTTGAAATAAATAAAAAATTTTAAGTAGCCGTAACATTAAAATCTGGCATATTCTATAACATATTTTCATCTTTATACCACCAAGTATAAAAGCTTACTGAATCGTACTTTAATAATAATCTTGAGTGCAAAAAAAGTTGAATGAAAAAACAAACGTAAAACAAAATAATTAACAGAATGGAAGCAGGCAGTAAACAACGTGTGCAGATCAATAAAATCACTTGTACTAATTAATCGAGTACGCACGGAAAAAAATATCTTTAAGTGTATCAAACATTCACGACTATACGCTTCATTTCATCTGTAACCAGCTTCCTTTGACTTATTCACTGATAAATTCTAAAAATTCACTTGTACACGTGCTTAATTTTGATTGCTTAGAAGTAAAGTGTTAATACATCCTTCAAATTACTTTTTTTCCACATAGTGCATTAGTGCAAGATTAAAAAGAGTAAAAATTTACCAAAATTTTTTTTTTCAAAAGCGTTGAAGAAATCAGAATGCACCAGCAAAAAAATGCTGCCCATGTGTATCATTTACAATAAAATCTATTTTTACATTTTGTATATAAACTTCTTTGAATTTAACATTTAACGTTTGAGGACAGTGCTGCACCGAGTACCAAGTAGTGTTTTTAAACATCAGTGGAAGAAAAAGCACTCAGAGATGAAATCTGAAGCCCAAAATAAATTTTTTTGATTCTCAGTGAATAAATTTAAACTTATTTTGCCTGTTCAGGGTGATCGAAGTAGCGTTTTTGTGAAGTAGTTTTTTGTGTGTACTAGTGCACGAAGTAGCCACTTTGCAGACCAATATTTGCCTTCTAAAATCTGTATTTGCTCGCTGATGTTCAAAAATACACGCAAACCGATGACAATGAGTGACGAAAACCAGCTTACGCAACTCGTTTGCATTGTGATTGTCATACCAGTACGCCTTGCTCGTGGACATACTTTTCTTTTCTCAATACCTTGTTCATACTTTTCTTACGTACAATATATACTATTTTGGGCACGAAATTCGCCAAACTCGGTAAGAAAGTATTATCAATCGAAATTCATAATAAAATTGATTAACCAATAAATTATCTATAAAATGCATGAAATAGAAAAAATATTTTTTTTTCAACCCCTCTTCCACAATGATTCTCGGAAAATCTCCTCAAAGTAAGGCGCCAATCTCACAGTGAACAACCGACGCACCGCAAAGCCCCACTATACCAAAAACTTTTACCACTAAAAAGGAAAACAGAATAAGCTCCGTGAAAGCTCCGACAGTCAAAAGGAAATAAAAGAAAGCTCGGAAGGACGCTCCCCCCTCAAAGTCTTTACCGCACGCCCAGCTGCGAGTACCCGCCGAGGGAGGGTCTGGCCTGCTGTCGAAAATCGATCGCAAAGACGCCCTAAATTCAGCTCCGCTCTCTCGTCCATGGACACGAGAGTGAGCTGGAAACGGGACCGAGAGCCCATCCACCCACGCGCCTGCGTTGTGTATGTATGTTAGTGTGTAATGTAGCCTTGTCGCGCCACTACAAAACGAAGGAAGTAAGGTCAAGGTAATCCCCGTATCTCGAAGTACCTACGTTTGTGGGTCCAAAACTGATGATCGCTGACGTACACGACCATACTACTCTCGTTCGTTGTAATTGTCTCTAATTGACGCGTCGATAGTTTTTGTTTCTTCCCATTCGTTGAGTTTTCCCAAGAGTGGAGAGAAAATAAGATTTTGACAGCACAGTCTATGGTTTACAGTTGCTGAATGAAATGGAACCTTTGTTTCGGATTGGTTGTGTAAATTTATCTCTTTTGTAATCTTTAGTTCTTTTCGCATCGAGCACGTCACAAAAAAAGTTCTACTTGCTAACACGAAAAAAATTACATCCTTTGTACCAGATATGAGCATGTATTAGAGGAAATGAGAAAAAAAAGTGATTAAGCAACAGCCCAATGTTGCTTTATCATCACTCAACAATCACACTACTGCTAAACACTGTTCAATTTCTTTCTGTCCGACTCGTAAATGAGTACGTGCACTCGTCTTAATCACGAATATCATTAGCAGGCACCCCACTAAAAGCCAGCCAAACAATTAACACACCCTCCAAAGTGGGTTATACGAGGTTGAGACACCCCCCAATACAAAATTCATCACGTCCGTACCGACATTCGAAGTATATAGGAGTAGTATACAGCACACACCCACTCATCTGCGTACACTTGTAATCCCGTGAATAATAAAAAATGTTGGGCACCGTTAAAGGAGTCAAAGGCCTCGTAAAGACTATCCTGGCGATAAAAGAAAAAACAGAGCTCCTGCGCTCTCGTTTCCATCCAATCGGAGTAAACGAATGGACAGTAGCACCGGAGAAAGCGATTAAATAAAAACGACGGCAGGAGGTCAACAATTAAGCTTTGTGAAATTACACTGAAGCGAGAGAGGTGGATGAAAAATAAAAGTAAAAAAGAAAAGAAATAAGTTGTCCCGAATCTTTGCCCGTGGGGGAGGAATTTAATCTCGTTCCAGTATCATTTTTCTTACGGGATGTATGGACGATTTGGGGGATGGAGAAAGCAGATTTTGTGCTCTGATATTTTTGGAGCCTCGTATTCGTGTACTGACAGCGAACAAAAGCCCAACTTCAAGGGCAGGACGGAAAAAAGACTCCCTCTGATATTCTCGGTAGATATCAAGAAGGGGGAGACCTTTTTTTCTGTCAAAAAAAGGTCGACAGGTGGAGATAGAGTGCGTGCGAGGCAGGGTGATTTCCTTTTGTGCTGGTGCTTTGCCGAATTTCGGGGTTGATCGCTTATTTTCGCCGTGATTCATCTCGATATGGCCAGAAAAAAAGAAAAAACCCGAAGATCTCATGATCGAAACTGGGGATGCTCGATTGAGCGCATGAAGAAGAAGAGAATGGAGATATGGTGGCCATTGAAGGGAAATATTTGAATCACAAGTACGGGACGAGTAGAAGGAGACCGATGAGGAACGATTGGTGTTTGCGTAAAATGATTGAAAAGGGCTTAGAGAGGAAACGGGATTATTGCACCTACTTTCTATTGGATTAATTTTTTAGATTTGGCGGTTCTTTTCAATGTTTTGATTAAGTTATTGCGTTTGAAAATGATGAACACCAATAAATGGACGTATTTAAGACTTATTTTTTTACCATTTTCATTAAAAATTATTGTGTCTTATTATCATTAGGATTTATTTTATTAAATTTTCGGAAGTTTTGTTTAATCATACACAGAACAGAAATAATTTTCTTAATTAATAATTTTACTCAATTTAAGTACATAATTTAAGTTAATCTTCTGTTTGAACTGAAAATGTAAAAAAGCTACGGTATTAAATAAAAAAATTATATGTTAAACGGTATGATTTCGAAACTTACAACACATTATTGTTCGCAATAAAGAAAATGATTTGATTAATGAATAAGTATTCATAAATTTGTAATTTTTTTGTATATTTATATTCAAAAATCAAACATAAACTGTATGGACTTGAAAATAAATTTTTAAAAGGTACAAAATGACACATTATTTTAGTTTTGCGAAATGGACAACAGAGACCTCAATAAAACTACTCGTATCAGTCATTAATCATTGGACCGATAGTAACTACTCGCAATTAATGAAACCTTCAATTGTAATGGCGCAATCATGACGAGAAACGCAATTAAAACACAAACACGCAAGTACACCTACGTCGAATCTGTGTAACAGACACTACAACACACAATGTGGTATGTAATAGTCTACTGTTTTTATAAGAGGTACTATTCATAAATACATTTTGAATTTTCATTAAATTATTGAATTAAATCAAATAATGAAGATTACGTATTCCAATCAAGCTCAACACGCCTAGCCTGTCCATCACGTGGAATAACGAGAAACAAGAATTCATAAAATTTTGAGGGGTAGAGTGGCACCAAAACCGAGTTCAAGCGTAAAGACATACTCTCACGTGCACCTAGTACAATACCCGAGCTGTCCAGTAGAAACAGAAGCTCGCGCACACCATCCAAGCGGCTTTCTATACATACACGTAAACGCGCGCGTGCGACGACACACACCAAGCTCGTGATAAAAATTACGCACGCGCACATCCTTCCTTCGAACAGATCCCAGAGCGGCAAATCAATCGATATCAAAAACATGACAACAGTGTCAGCACACACACACACACACTTACACACGCTATGCACGTATGATTTTTCCGGAGTAGGGGTGGAAATCCAATTTAAAAAGACGTGCAATAAGCAAGTACGCGACATTGCTTCCCGCGGCCTTGGTCGAGGGGGAGAGGTAACTTGAGTTTGTGTGTATATGCGAAAGCTCTCAAGCGCGCGCGCGTCATGGGGAGGCAAAAGGGCACCCGAAGGGAGGGACGGGGGTGGCTCCTCGGCGTCTCCGGTGATAGAGTGTGCCGTGGTTCTCCTCCCTTGTTCCCCCAAGGCCGTGCTAGCTCGCTCGAAAGGTAAGCCTGTTTTTCGAGCTTCCTCGTTCCGCGTATCTCTTTCCGCTGTCAAGCGCGATAACAGTTATTTTGAATGGGGAATCTTTTTTTTTTTTTTTTTTTTTTCTTATCAACGTGCATGAACCGACTACTTGGATGTCGGACTTTGTAAGCTCTCGTACAGTAGGTGCATCACGTGGGTGTATTTTGTAATATACTCACAGGTGCATTGTTCGAACGAGCAAGTAGATCGAGGCCGCATATGGAAAGGCACAAGTGTAAATGACATATAAAATCCCACGTATGCAGCGTAACGTCGCTTCATACGTATGCGCAAGCTTCGCGCTTCCATCGCTTGAATTAAGTACATGATTGTACGAACTTACCCCTTTCTGCTCGTAGATTTTGTGCGATCACTTCGTTCGCGCGTTTGGCCGCTCCGTCGAGTCCATTTTTGCACGAAAAAACCAAGTTGTCAGCTCAGGTACTGATTTTTCGAGCGAGCGACTCTTTCCTGCTGCCTTTGGTGCAGCGTAAGACACGACTAACCCCAGCTGAGGTGTACGTAGTACCCCAAGGAAGGGAAGCGACGTCGATGTATAACTACATCTACTCGACCTGTGGATCGGTGTAAAAGTGTAGGGACGTGCGCAGTCGTCCCTAACTCCCTAAGCTTAATCGGTGAAACTATGTGTGTGTACAAGCGACCGAGCAGCGCTTGCGTATAGCGAGTTTCGGTGGAAGGAAAGCAACGCGTCAATGTCGGGCGCTTGCGCTGTTTCCCCCCTGGTGCGTTTTTTCTTGCGAGCTGGAAGATTCCGTGAAAAATCGTTGTACCATTACGTCGTTGGAATAAAAGCAAGAGGTGAAGTTTTCGTTGAGAAAGTAAAAAGTCAGATTTCACCATGACATGGAAAAAAAAGGATGATTTCGTATAAAAGGATTATCTCACTCTTATCAAATGAATGAGGGATTAGTATAGAGTAAATATTAGTGTTTCTGAGCCGTGAAATACATTTATAGGATCAAGAGTTACGGATTATTCAAGGTCGTCCTTCGATTTTACTTAAATAATCACGCATTAATGTAGCTAGCATTGCTTTTCAACTCAGTAAGTCTCACGTGAGATTTTTTTTTTTGTGTACTTGATTGCTAACACTGAATTTTAAATAAAATACATCGACAAAAAAAATTATGTTAAGAACTAACAGGTTTTGGTAGTTTATCGGATGAAATCAGGTTTGGTGAATTTTTAATGAAAATTTGTAAACTGAACGGTGAGCTTACATTACATGTAAATTTTGACCTCCTAGTATCTCTTTTACTGTGGCCTAGTAATTTTGACACTTACTAAGTCTCACTACAAAGCTGTCTTTGCATGGTTTTTTTTGTATTATTTTATGATTAATATAAAAATTATGATTTGGTTCTTAAGAAAATCAATTTTTTCGTGGACTATCTTCTATTCATTTTACGTAGCGCGTGAGAGTAAATGTGCATTATTTTCTTTTTACAATTATAGATACGAGCATCAGAAAATTTTGACAATTGTTTTTTTTAAAGAGTTCGAATTTTCTCGCTATGAGCGTAACTTGATTTCTTTAAATTTTCCTGCAGAGGTTTTTTTACCATGGATTATTGGGCTTATGCAGATGCGCTCGAGTTTCACGATGGAAATGAATTTTTAACACAGCGTCTTCGTTTTGATGTTTTCTATGCATAATCCATTGTTTCTGCTTCTACGTCAAACACATAAAACTTACTCTTATTTCATAAAAAATGTGCAATAACACAAAAGCTCATTTATAACTTTCATATGTATAAGACTTTTCAACACCCGAATGCTACTTTTTTCTCATCTCTCGTCACGTACCACAGAACGTACGTCACACTTCAAGTGCTCAGCATCTTTGCACGTTTCTAACCGCCCTTTACTAGGGCTCCTCTGGTATATAGCTGTAATATAAATATTTTGTCTTCTCACTTACTTTATTTCTTATAAAATAGAGAAAAAATAAAGTTTTTTCTAAATCACGCTTACCTCCAAAAAAGCCCATACAACAGTGATGGACACTTGGATCGTGCTTAAATTACCTTTCAAACTACCGTGTATATCCTTGACTGTTGGACCTTTCACCTCTTATACAACACATTTTTCTCCCAGACAAAAGCTTCAATTGACAACGAGCTGTGAGCCAGCCCCTTTCTTTTAGGATCTTTTCCCCTTTCTTTTCCTCTTTTTCTTGCGCTTTTACGCAAGCTTTCGAAACATCTGCAGCCTTGCCTCGTTTCATTTGTTCTCATCGTTTTTTTTTCCTCCCATTCCCTCGAACCATGCGCTTGTAGTACACACGTTTGCTCTCTTACCCTCCCTTTCCTTTATCCTCATCTTTTATTTCTTCAACACACGCAGCTTTCACCATAGAAACGGAGAAAAAAAATTAATAACGTGAGTTAGTGAGTATAAATAATACACACACGTATCCGAGCTTTGACACTTTCAAAGAAATTTGCCTACTCTGGTTTTATTTGGTTAACACTAGATTACGCACGTTTCAAATCCTCAAAAAATGTTTAAACTTGCGACAAACTAAAAATATTCAAGCACTTTGTTTTAAAACACCTGGATTCGCACTAGAGGTACTTTTAAACTCGAGATTCTCGATTTATCTCACGGTCATTCAGTCAAGACCCTAATTGGACGATAAAGAGTCGAAGTGAGAACGAGATATATTGAGTTGAACGTAAGTTGACTCCCATCAACGGATAATAATAATAAAAAAAAAAATAATTTATCGATTTTAGTAGCTGAGCTACTTTTTTTCTCAAGTTTTAGGTCACAGAAGTACAATTAATCGAAGGCTCCACCACGCCTAACATCAATCCGTCTTTTCGTCCGTCTTTAATTTCTTTGCTATGATTGGCTCTGCCCCCAACTATGTATATATATTTTTATCCTAGTTTTACCATGACGCACGACTCTCTCCCTAATAACTCACGCAACAAGTATTACCTTTTTTATTTTTTTATTCTCCTACACAGAAATTGAAAGTCACGCCGTTACCGAGTTATTATTTTCATACAAAACTTTGTACCCTTTCGTCCATATTTTAATTATTTCTGTAAAAAAAATGTTAAACTTTGGAAAGTTGAATAAACATTTATACAATTAAGTTATTTCACAACCAGAACTTTTTTTTGTTTACGGAAAACAAAATAACAATTTACGTAACTTGTTTCCTGTATGAAAAAAAATAAATAAATAAAATAAACAAGTAAAGCCCGACTTATAGGGCTTGAAACTCTGTATGGTTACGTAAAACTTACTCTGTAACGCGCAACAGAGCAAGAGATACAGGAGACCGCCTTAGGTGAATGAGAGTTACCCACCATACCGCAAGCGCCCACGCACGTACTCTACCTCGAGGGTGGAGCGAACGAGGCTCGGAGTTCTTCGGCCGATTTATTATTTATACATATGGAAAGCAATTCTTCATCGGTCCCCTTCAACGAAAAAACTATGCATCAGCTCGGATTAAGAAAAAACAATGAAAAATTACACGCAACGTAGTGGCGTAGTATACAACATGTATGCGTAACCACAAGCATATTGTTATTCCTCAGACGTCCCAAGTTCAGAGTCCCATGTCTCTCAGTTTTTTCGTGAAGAAGCCCCTATGTACATGCCTTAAAATTCTTTGCACCTCGAATTGACGTAGATCCACCCCACTACACCGTATGCGTGGGGGAGAGAGAACGACCGTCATTTTCATTGTACGTCAGTGTGGTTGTGCTGTGTATAGCGAACAAGTTAAGCGACCAATTTTGTCGCTCCAGGCAGATTAGATTTCCGGTTGATGTATTTATTGGTGAGTTTCCTATAATACATATAAATAACATCGAAAAAAGATTTTTTTCTGATAAATTTTCTCCTCTTTCGGTTTACTAGAAAGGCTAAAATTTTGTAAATAAATAATCTTTCAAGATTATTATTATTTAGTTAAAAACTTGAATCTTTAATTCGTATTGAATGAAATTAATGTAAATTGTATTTCAATTCCTTTCATTTGATGTACAAGTTTTATTGAAGAGTATGAGGTGAAAAAATTCCTCCTAATAGCATCTGTATTCTGATAGTTCATTAAGAAGATCTGAAAAAAAATAAGAAATGTTAGTTAACACTGAAAAAAATTATGTTTTTCTTGAAAATATAATATATGTGCGTATGAGTTTTTCAATATTTTTTTCAGATGTATTTTCGAGAATAAAAATCATTTAATGTGGGGGTCTTTAATTAAATTTTATGAAGCATAACTTTTTGAAAGATTTTTTTTTGTTCGCTTATTCGTTTGTAAATGACAGTTTATTTTTAATTAACTGATTTTTAACTAGGAGAATTATTTTTCTTAGTTTTGATTTATTTAAATTGTATTTTGAATACAATTTAATAATTGATACCCATGAGTCTATGTTACATTGAACCTCCTGAATAAACTTTCTGCACTTTCACTTTTAAAAATCCAACAGCCAATGTTATTAAAGCATAGATCTTATTAATTTTTATTAGAATTTCTTTTCTTTTCAGATTAAAAAAATTTATTATAAAGTTTTCGAGATGAAAACGATAAGTGGATAAGCAACAACTCTACCCCATTTTAATTAGCCGTCTTAGATCTCGACTACTAATTATTAAAAATCCACATCAAAATTTTAAGATAAGTCCAATTAAGGGACACGACACCAGTGAAGAATCCATTTGATAGTTTTATAGAGAAAATATTCTGAAATTATTGTCCTACTTTTTGTAAAGTGTAACAATCATGGTGATTTTTTTCCTTGATAATTACTTGTACAATATTTTTTGCGGTTAATTTGTTCTAACTGATTGATTCAATTAAACTTTAATATAAATTACTCAAAAAAAAAACTGATGTTAAATACGTTACAATTTTGTATTTCGCGCTGTTTATACTTCAAGACTATTAGCTGCTTTCCTGCGATTTTTTCGCACATATTTGTCTGCTCTGTAACGCCATAAAAGTGTATATGTGTGTGATATATGTTTTCATAACTGCGTTAAAATATAAATACCTTCTAAATATTATTTTCATTTTGTACTTAAATATATCTAAAATTTTGGATGTAATTTATCTCGATTGGATATCAACTCAAAAGTAACTGCCCATATCACAACATACTTGTGCACTAGGGGCAAACCTTGCGTTCGAGCATTATGTTAACAATTAATATTATTGAATAATTATTTTAGCAAGTACTTGAATGTTACAGGTTTAAAATATATTCACTCATCTGCTGAACTTATAATTAGGTTTGTTAGAAGGTGCAAGAAAAAAAGTTTTTTTTTATCTAATAAATAATAAAGATTCTATTTGGGCAGTGCGCATTTTTACTGTAAATTAGATTTAATGAACGAAATAAATATTAAAAAAATAAAAAATATAATTGGGACCAGGAAATTATTTTTCTAGGAAAAAGATACAACAAAACAAATAGATTATCTTTGTGTATTTTTTCTCCTAGATCACAGACGCTTTTCTTTTTTCCCTTTTTCGATAGACCCTTCTGTAGGTCTTCATTCTGCAGATGAGAAGTTATCACGGATATCCTTAGTATCATCAGACGATAAAACAGACACTCATTACAGCTCGATAAGCAAATTCCAGTGATAAGAAAGAATCTATACTCACAGTATTTTGAACAGATTGCACCAAGTTCTTTTTGTTGCAAAAAGAGGTCATATAGTGCAAGGTGGGCGATCCTAAGTGTGCAAAGTAGTTGAATCTGATTGATGTTTTCTCCAGTGAGTGGATTAGATAGAGATTTTTATGCTCATAGAGATTGTGGAAGGTGTATTATTTAATGGTTCCAGGAAAAAAGTTAAATTTTACGTATATAAAAAACGAAATTTTTGTTATAACTGTTTTAGTAGCTTCATAATTATTCTCTTTCGTCAAATAAATATTTCCACGTAATTTTCATGAATATTTGTGATGATGAATTTATTTATTTTTAAAAAATTTCTAATCATTTCACTAAGAGTGTTTTTATCATGTTTTGTAAAAGAAGTATTTTTTATTTCCGTCCACGATGATTTGTTTACATAAAGCTATCAGCTTTGAAAAAATACGAAAATCATATTTTTTAATATAACCAGATGTTAAAATTTTTTAACTATATTTTACGTGAATTTTTATTAACTGAAATGTCTTTAATATTAAAACCTAAAATAATTATTTGTAATAAAGAATGATTAATTTTGACGTAATTGAAAATCAATAATTTTTTACTTATGATATTACAAAAAATTATAACTTGTGATTTTTGGTATAATTATAAGTTTGTTAAGATCTTTTTGGCCTCATTCGACATGTTTTTTCGGATCATGCCATTGTTTCAAAAATAAATTTGGTTTTAATCCTTAAGCAT